TGTTGAGGGTGCTTCTGCCCCCAGGGAAGAAGCATGGGAGAATTAGGAGGAGAGGTCGAGAATTGCATCCAGCCAGGACCTGCTGTGTGGGTGAACGGTTATTCAAACATTATTTCTATTTACATGACAACTTCTTAGTGGTGTCGTATAGGAGATCTTGTAGATGGTAAAACTGAGGTCTGAAGGTAGATTGCTCAATATCGGGCTACAAGCACACTAGCTTCAAGCCTCCTGTTAAGAGGACAGCATATCACCTAGCTCTTTAACACCCCACTCCCCAAGGACGGGAAGAAGGAAGAGAGAGGGAATTGGAGGAAAACATTGCCTAGACTACAAGAACCAAGTCTCCTGTAGTTGAAACCCACATACAAAGCTACTTAACTTTTAAAAACATGGTTTAGATGTTTTCAGCAACCATTCATGGCAAATGCATCCTTTCCTTATCATCGTAAGGTGTTCTGATAAGGGGTGGCAGAACCAGAGCACTATGGAAGCCAAAGCTCTGGGCTCTCCCACCAGAGCACCGAGGAGTTCCCTTAGCAAACGTATCCTGTTCTGGGATTCAGAGGCACCCCACACCCCATACTCCTCACAACAGAAACTGTTGGCGCCAGGGCTGTTGCTTTCAGACCCAATGTGGCTTTCCTGCCACCCTGGCTGAGGATTAATTCCAATTATGTAACCATGAGGAACAGACTTGGGCCGGGTGGGATGACATAGCGGTATGAGTGTGCCTGGGGGACAACTTGAGGATTGAGTCTCCACCCTCCCAGAGGAGGGAGCGGAGCGCAAAGCTGCATCTCTTGGGAGAGGGGAGTGCCTAGAACCTGAGAGGAAACTCAGGGGACATGGAGATTATTGCTTGGATTTTTCTCCTCTTCCCAACACACAGGCAGGATTCTATAGAAATAATAGAGTCAAGTTTCGGTGGTTCCTGCTTTATTGGTCACGACAAAAGGCACAAAACACCCACGGCTCCAAACCACGGGGCGTGCTTAAGGCGCGATTGTGGGCTTGCTAATGTCACAATGCATAAATGGAGTCGCACAGAATCGCTTAGCCCAAGAGTCTTCCAGGCCTCCCCCTCTGCTAATTTCGGGCTCCTCCTGACCCCCAACTTCTTTTCTAGTTTCATTTTTCTGGCAATTTACTGGGCCAGGGTTTCCTGGTGTGCTGCCAAGATCTAGCGCAGGCATGCTGGCCCTGGCAGAGCAGAACCTGGCTCTCCCTGCACAGGAGAGCCTCTCCGAGACCCGAGGCTTCCTGCAAAGGGGAGGCGAGGCGAAGCAGTCTGCACACCAGCGTGCCCAGGGTGCCCTAGGCTCAGCCCTAGCTAGATCCCAGACCCGACCCCCCCCCCATCGCCCAAGTTGGTAAGCTTCACTTTGGAGAATAATCGCACCTCTGCTTCTCTCCAGATGCTGTGGGTGTGGAAGAAACTGGGCCCAGTAAGTCACAAGGTGAGCAGCTTTCACACTCCGTGACTCTGAGCGCAACACTGACTGCGATGCAAGTTCCCAGCCGCAGGCTTTTAGCGAAAGTACAAACGCTCTCTCTTCAATCACTTTCCACACAAAAGACCGAGGTGGGCAAAAATCCAAAGACATCCACCAACAACCAAGTGTCATTTTCTGGGTGATCATAGCTGAGCGTTCACTTCAGGGACGTTGGCAGTTTTGTCTTGGGAACCGAGGCCACACACTCGCCCATCACTGGACTGGACAGGCCGGCTGAGCCCTGCCGAGGTGCTGGGAAGTGGCTCTGTCTGGTTTGGCACCGTGGCCAGACCACTGTAGACACTTCGCCTAGCTTTTCCCAGGTCCCAGCTCTGTCTAGCTCAGGCTTCTGCAGACCTGAGCCAGGTGAGCCCTCCCCAGCCCTCTGGAGCGCAGAGCCCCAGAAGCTCTTTAGAAGCCAGTGGGTGGACTGCCTTGCACGCAGCTCCAGGATAAGTTGCTCAAAGGTGTAGTTAGTGCGAGGAGCTCAGACGCGAAGAGTTCAGCAGCTAAATTGGAGGGGGCTTTCACTACTTAAAGTAATAATTTTGTAATTCGGATCTATTGCTTTTAAATATCGAGCTCCAGAGACCTCTGTCAACTCAGCCTTTTCCCAGCTGATGCGGGATATGTGTAACGGCTCCTGCCCTTCGAGCCGCGGGTGAAAATATCGCTTTTATGCCTTCCGTAAGGATCGCCCAGGAGGAGGAGGGAGCGGTCCTTAGAAGACCACGAACTTCACAGCTGCTGCTGTCCAGCTGGGCCGCTCCTGCCAAGGCTGAGGCTCTGGGTGTCTGGTAGATGGGGTGCTCCCTTTCTCCAGCCCTGGACCGAGGCCGGGCTCCCCGGTTTCAGCGGGACAGACACCCCCAGTGCCTCCGAGCAGTGCGAGCCGCACAGTCCCGGACCAGGCGGCTTTGGAGTTTCCACCCGTCCTCTCTCCTAAGCCACTCACTCCCTGGACGCAGCCAGCGGGCTGAGGGCGTCGGCAGACCCCCTAGGTGGGTCCTCCTTTCTGATTTTCATTTGATGAGCGGCAGCTTCCAAAAATTTCAGTCCAATAGGAAGGCACCATCAAGGCACAGCCAATTTATTTTCCCACCTACAGGCAAACAAGATAATATACATATGTATTTTTTTACTGTGTTTCAAAATTGATTTCAATTGAGGTCGCCCTAAAAACTCTGTTTCTTTCTTCCTTTTTTTTCCAAAAAGTTTTTTTTTGTTTTTTTTGTTTTGTTTTTTGTTTTTTTGTTTGTTTGTTTGTTTTTTAATTTTAGCTTAAACACTTAAAGTGCAAAGAGCACAAAGCGGAACTTTTTCTTTCCTAATTCGAGGAGTAGCGAGCTCTAGTTTTCCCACGGGCAAGAAGAAGCTAAACGTTTTCAGGCCAGCGGTGCACACGGGGTCACGAGGTCATTAGGCCCCAGACCCCGTAGGAAGCTCAACCTTGACCTTCCTACCGAAAACCTTAGCGCTGCGCGCATCTCTGTCCCCCCCCCCCCCCCCAGCCCAAGCCTTGGTCTCCAGGCCAGGGAATGACTTACCACCGGGGTAACCCCAGTAGCGCGCCGGGCAGGCGGTCCTGCCGCGGGTGAGGTCGCAGTCCCGCCGGGCGCCGGAGCAGGGCGGACGCCAGACCAGCCTTGCAGACTCCAGCCTGACGTCCTCCTCCTCCAAGCCCGGAAGCCTCCACAAACGAATCATTTCCTCCACTTATGCAGAGATAGGAGCTCTTAGATCAAGATTAGTATGTTGAAAATCTGATTGAGAGCCGCCTGATTAGGCGAGGGCGGTGGAAAGCGGCGCCCCCTCCCTGCCTCCCCCAACAGCTCCAACGCGCCCGGCTCTCAGAGACCCACTCTCGCTGGCAGGCGAAGGGAACTCGGATTCTCGTTGCAAAGCTCAGCACAAAGGGCCGCCAATAAACTTCCAAGCTAGACTCCAGTTTTAATCCCTCTTCCAGGGTGTCGTCCTAGGCCGGCCTGCTAAGGCCAGCGTCCGCACAGTCTCCCTCTTTTTTGGAGGGCCTCCTCCGAGCAGCGTCTTACAGGAAGTGCATTGTTATGTAGATTCCCTCACCCAAATCTCAATTTTGCTTTTGACGGAAAGAAACAAACCAACGAAAACGAAAACACTAGCAGTAAGTCCAAACCTCACTCCTTCTATGCTCTACACTCTTCTACGCTCACTCCTTCCGTGCTCTACAGAGCACAGCGACTGTAAGTCTCAAGTCCCTCTTATTCCGCGCTAAAGTTAGTGGAGATGCGAGGGGCGGCGGCCGGAGGCTGCTAGTGTGAACGCGTGCCTAACGGCTGAAAGGGAGAGCGGAGCCGGGTCACGTTCAAAAGTCCCCTGTGTTTAAGGAGGAAAGGGGCAATCAAAGAAAACCCAAACTCAACCCTTCCCGCCGGTTCGGCCCGTCCACCTCTGCACCGCCCGCCCTTGCGTGGCCGCCGCAGGCCGACTCTGCTGAGCCGCTCTCTCATCTTCCACAGGCAGACGGGAGCCGGGAAGACAGCGTCCCAGGTCTTACCACAGACCTTTTTGTCTAAGTGACCGTAGCTAAGCACGGTTTTGTTACAGGGCTTGAAAAAATAAAGACCCAATATGTCTTCATACCACTTAAGTTCCAAACGTTTCTCTTTTGTTCATCTAAAAGGACAAATAGGAAATAAAGTCATTTAAAAAATAACTTCTTACGAAGTTACCTTCTTCTATAAACGAACTGAGACCTTATAAAGAAATAAAAACAACTAAGCATGCAAACAAACAAACAGCCCACACTTTCCAATTCCTATCAAAATGACCCCTGCCCCCACTCACGCCCACGCTCGTGGATGCGCCGCGGGGCTGGACGCCGCTACCTACGCACTGACTGTCAGGAATTAACTAACATTCGCCAGTAACATACTCTCGTCTTCCCTGTATCCTTGCCTTCAAATCTAGTCGGTCGGAGCCCCTTCTTTATCTTAACGGAAAACTTTCTGCGGCTGGAGCGACCCTCGGCTGCGCACTGGGCAAGACCTGAGACCTAGGAATCCCGGAGGCCTCCGCACCCCTCCCGCGCCGCTGCAGATGTAACCCGAATCTTTGTTTAGGTTTTGGCTGGGGAGCGAGAATTTAAAGACAACTCAGATGCAGAAAGCAGATTCTTAAAAAAAAAAAAAAAAAAACAATCGAGCTAAAGGGCCATCCACACCCCCACCTTTAGCACTGAACTTGGAGTAAGTTGTCTGGCGCAGATAAAGATCTTAGCGTGGAGGGAAGGCGGGTTTTCGCGGGGAGGTGAGGCTGGCCCTCCAGGAAAAGGCTTTCCCCCGCGCCCCCTCCTCTCCGACGTCCCCACCCTCTGGAAACACAACTTTCCCTCTTTTCCTGCAGGGACAGGCCTCAGTGTGGCTGAGAGCAGTCGGGGGCGGCGGGTCGGAGAGAGGCGCGGCCGCCGGGCGCTTGCGGCACCCCTGGCGTCGGGGCGGAGGAGGCGGGGGCGCTGCGGACACCGGGGCCCCTGACCCTCCGCGGCTGCTATGTGACGGGCAGCGCCGCGGGGCCATGTACTGGAAGAGCGAGCAGATGTTCGTGCGCAAGCTGGAGGGGAAGGACGCGCCGGAGCTGGCGGTTCCCCGGGAGAAGGTGAGCAGCCACGCCGGCCGGCCGGGCCGCTGGGGGCTCTGTCCTTGCGCCGGGAGAGTGGTCGCCGCCTGGGCTCCAGGCCTGACAGGTTTTTGTTTGTTTGTTTTTTGTTTTTATTACGTAGCAGCGTTAGGTAGTAATCAGAGCGTCCCCTCCCCACGGGTGCACTTAACCTGGGCCATGGACACTCGAGTTGGGAGGCGAAGCCTGGAGCCTAGGGCGCTCGCGGGCCGTGTGAGTCCTGCTTTTACTCAGTTGAAGCTCCGGTCGCGGGGATCCGGGGCAGGGTCGGGGCATCTAGGCTACCAGGCGCCAGGTACCAGCCGCCGCGTCCCGCTGAGCCCCGCTCTGGCCGCCCGTCAGGTGCGCGAGGGGCCCGAGGACCCGCGGCGACAGATCCAAGGACGTGGGTCCTCTGGAGCCCCCGCTCTTAGAAAGGACCAGAAGAACAGTCGGCCAGAGGGGCCAGGTCCGCGGCGCCAGGCGAGCCTAACGGGGAGAGCAGGCTAGCTGTCAGCCAGCTCGGGAGGCTAGACCGGGCGCGCGGCCGAGTCCGGGGCGCACGGCAGGGACGCTCAGCCCAGTCCGGGGCGCACGGCCGGGGCGCTCAGCCGGCCCGGGGTCCCCGGCGGCTCCGGGCGGGACGCAGGCGGGGCGCGGCTGGCTCGGGCCCGCCGGGCGGTGGGCGGCGGGGGTTCCGCGGACGCACCCCGCGCCCCGCGCTGGCGGTCCCCGGAGCGGCTCCGGGCTCTCCCGGGGCGGGGAGAGCGCTTGGGAACGCCGAGGGTGGCGGGAACCCGCGCACCCACTAGCCCGACACCGGACTCTCGGGGAGGTTCTGTTCTGTAGAACAAAACTGAAAGTGCAGCCGGGGCTCGGCAGACCTGGGCCGCCCGCCCGCCCGCGTGGTCGGCAACCTTCCGCCCCGCGTCGGGTGGGGTGCTTTTTTTTTTTTTTTTTTTTTTTTTAATGGGACAAATTAAATTCAGCTGGATATTTCCATTATGCAACCCGCTTTTTGCACTGGTTAAAAATAATCCTTTAGTAGCTAAAATGTTGACTTACTGAGCACTAAGTGGCAATTCACACCTGAAAGAAACCAGTGTAAGTCGCTTAGGGTTCTAATTGCTTTAAGTTTACCAAAGAGCTGCTGGCTCCGTTTAATCTGAAGCATTTTCATTCAAATTGTCGGAACAAACACCAGGCTTCTTAAATCCCACTGTAATTAGCTTTCAAGTATCCGATTAAACCTCTTCACCTTTCGGGCTATCCTATTCAAAAAGCCCCCCCTCCCTTAAAAATATATGTGTGTCTTGCTCTTTTAATTGCGGTTATTAAAGAAATCGAGTTGCGCTCCCCACCCCCTCCTCAGTCCCTTTTCTTCTCTCCCCCTCCCCCCGCCCCGTGTCCCCTTTAGCCGGGTGTTCCCCGCTCCCGTGATTGACGTCTAGAAAGCGCTCGCTTTGTGCTCGGAGGCCGGCTATTAGCTGGGTCCCCGTGGGGGCGGGGAGCCGGGCGAGCGCGGCTCGGGCGGGCAGTCCTCGGCGGCCCGGAGCCCGCAGCTGCGCCGGGCTCAGGTGCCCGCGGCCGCACGCGCCGCCCGCGCGCGGCCTGGAGCGGCGCTGGCCGAGCGGGGAGCCCGCTGACCGCGTCTCCCGCCCTCCCGCTCTCGCGGCGCAGCGCCCCGGGCTTATGTCGGAGGAGTGCGGGCGGCCTGCAGCCCCGGCGGCCGGGAGGACGCGCAAGGGCGCCGGGGAAGACGCAGCGGTGAGTGGGGCGGCGGCCCGCGCGGGTGCCCGGCTCCGGGGCCCGCGGGGCTGGGAGCCCCGGGAGCGAGCGGGGCGGAGGGCCGGGAGGGGGCGCAGCCCGGGTGCCCCCGCGGGCGTGAGCCGTGGAGGGGAGGGGGGCCTGCAGCAGAGCCCGGCTGTTCCCGCAGGTGAACCCCGACGGCGCCGGGGACGAGGACTCCTGCTCCTCCTCCGCCCCGCTCTCCCCGTCGCCCTCGCCCCAGTCCATGGCCTCGGGCTCCGTGTGCCCGCCCGGCAAGTGTGTGTGCAGCAGCTGCGGCCTGGAGATCGTGGACAAATACCTCCTCAAGGTAGGAAGCGGGGTGAGCGAGGGAGCCCCGACGGGAGTCGGCGAGGCTCCGGGACAGTGCCCCGCCTCGCGGCAGCAAATCGGGCCGCTCTAGGGCCCGCGGCGGGAGAGTGTGGTGGGAACTGTAGTGTTTCCCTTGCTGTGAACCGGTTCGGGGACCGGTCCCCACCAGCAGAAGAAGGGCTTGGGGAAGCCCGCCCATCCTGAAACAGCTGCCAGCTGCCTGGCCTTTTGTTTTCCAAGCTAGACCTTATTTATCTTAAAAATCCGTTAGTCTCCTCCAACACACCCGTGCTGCATCTGAGCAGTCCCGGGTCCGTGAGCCATTCCGCTTTGGACGGCTCCCTCTGTGACGAAAAGCACAGTCAAGCGCCTTAGAAGATCTTTTGTTGTGAACTATTGACGTCGTGGTCACAGGTTTATTGACAGGTCCCTGGAATGTGCCACAGCCACAGTTTATGTAAGGCTTTAGAAGCTCTTTCGGTACCTCCCAGATTTTGCTAAGCGCCATGGAGTTATGTCCGACCAGGGCAAAAGGGAAGTACAATTAGGCGCCCATGGAAGAGCCTCGCTGGAAGTGTTTCACGCGGCGGTTTGAGAGTTGACTGTCTGCCTTAATTTGTTTTAACTGTTCTCTTAAAATACTGTGCGCGGGGGCGGGAGGGGGTTTTGGAGTTGAGATTCTGGCTGGCTGCAGTTAAGCCAAGTTACTGCAAGCAGGATATTGGGTCCCATGCGTCTTAATCTGAGCACATTAGATTTCCAATTTCAATAGCTTTTAAAAACCACTATGTAAAATAATGTTTTCTAATATACCAAATGAGTTGTAAACCAGTTCACTTTCTGACCCTGCCCAAGCTTCCAAGCTTCGGTTTCAGAAGGATTAATTACAGAGAGTAAAAGTTCAAAAAGTGAATTAGTGGGTTTCTCTAAGCTCTTGTCAACATTCGGGAGCTGCCTGCTGGGCGGGATGAGAATATTGCTCTGGAGGGCCCAGACAAAGCACCAAAGCGGCTTGGGTAAAAACATTTTCAGTGTTGTTAGTTGATTCCTGAAGCTGGCAAGTTACCCTGGCTTTCTCTTTAAATTTGCATTCTTAAAATCCCATTTCCAGTTTTACTACTTAGAAAGTGCAGTGGTACAAAACCATCCACCAAGTCAAATTAGCTTCTTGTTTTGAACAAGGTTCTCGGTCACGGGCAGAAACTTCAACAGAGTTTCTGAACCAGACTTCAGACATAGAAAATAGTTACACAGTTAGGTCAAGGTCATCTTCTGAATTCTACAGATTCTAGCATTCCTCTTGTATAATTTTCTGCATTGCTTATGCGTGTCTTCATAGTGCAGAGAAATCATATCTAAGTGGTTCTGCAAAGTTATCTTCTGTAATTGGACAGGAGTCTACCTAGGAAAGTTTTCAACACACAACCATATCGTGCTGGGATTTTTAAGTTGCTTAAAAGTTGACACCGTGGGACCCTGTAGAAACTTGAAGTTCGAAGCCTCCCTGTCTCCAGTTAAAGTGCTGTCTTCTCACGCTAAGCTTGAATCATAACTTCTCTCTGGGAAGAAGTGTTTTCACCCAGTGTAGATGAAGCTTTTGAGACGATAGGGAAACACCATGCTGAGGGCAGACCACAGAGAGTCAGACAGAAGGGGCTGTCACCTGCTGCCCCTTTATAGCCCTGTCCTGTCCTAGCCTGGTCTGCAGCCATATTGGATGAATACTCCTTGAATATTTTTATGGGAAGGAGTCCAGAACCCCTTCCAGAATTGTCTCCCTTCAGTCCTTAGCAGAACAGGAACTGTTAAGAATCTTTCTTTTGTTTTTCAAAAGAACCTTTGAGGAAAGGTGTCAGGCCAAGCTTGAGGTCTGGCTTTTGTAGAGTTAGAGAGAGGCCCCAGCTTTGTTTTAAAGCCTTACTTTAGAAAACAAAACAAAAGCCTGGGTGTGATTTAAATAAGGCCCCAAGAGTGGAGACTCAGGACACTTGGACGTTCTATATTAATTGGGTACAATTTTCAGAAAAACATGAGGAAAATAACATCTCAACTTCCAGGAAGTATTTTTCTCGGTTACTATTTTTAACCCATTTTAATGCAATTGACTGTTTTTTAAAATAGCGAATATATAGTTCTCTTGAAGAAAGACCCAGACTTCAAACTTAAATTTTCATCAGAAATTAAATGTTGCTTTGGGAAGAGGCTCCTAACTCCTTAGAAAACCATCATTTTCTTTACAGTATCATTTGTATCTCCTTATCAGTAAAACACCCCGACTGGTAGTTAAAAGGCACAAACCTGGTCAGCCCTAGCCTGCAGGCCAGCACAGCCCAGTACTCCTCTCCGCTTGGTGGCTGAAGCTCCGATCTGAAAGGAGGGCAGCCCCAGCTTCAGGTGACCTGAGTGGCTATTTGTTCCCAGACATTCCTTGCTCCTAAGTCAAAGCCTAGAGTACCCTGCTTATTAAATACTGTCCTGTCTCGCTACCTGAAGTGCAAACAAATGTATTTCCCTGGATGCATTTAAAACTACCCATGATTATATATCTTTCTCCAGAAGGTAGGTGGTTAGATAGGTTCCCAGCAGCCTCCTCCTTGGTACTTTGCTCCCGGTAGCTGTGCATATTAGGGGGGTAGGGAGAGCAGAGTCAGCTTCTCTACCGCAGCAATCTCAGGGGTGTCCCTAGTGCTTGCTTTCTTGATTAGGGTATTTTACAAAGCTGTTTTCTGACTTTGTGGTTCTTCCTGATAGGAGCACAGTTTATAGCTATTTGGCCAAAATATAGGTCGAAAGGTTTGTGTGTTGACTTCCATAGCTGCCACGTTTCACTGTAGAAGGGATTGGAGCAAAGACAAAAACAGAACCTGGATAGATGGCTCTAGAGTAAATGTTTTCTCTTGAGGTCTCCTCAGAGGGAAAGGGACAGAGGAGAGAATGACTGTGAAAGAAAACCTGAAACCTTCAAAAGAATAAGGAAACAAACTTGAAACATAGCCTGTGGGAGTCTGGTTTCTTGCTGGAGTGTAGAGAGGACACAGCCAGATGGCTGTTCTTGTTTCAAGGGTGCTGTCTGGGTGGAAGCATTCCGAGCTATGCTGGGTATCACAGGGCTGACCGCTCTCACAGAGTCCGCTGGGCTCTGAAGGGGATGTGTGCTGACGGGCTGCTCACCCTCATTTTCCCCTTGCAGGTGAATGACCTGTGCTGGCATGTCCGCTGTCTGTCCTGCAGTGTCTGCAGAACGTCCCTGGGAAGGCACACAAGTTGTTATATTAAGGATAAAGACATCTTCTGTAAACTTGATTACTTCAGGTATACTGCCAAGCTTTCATTTAATAAACACCCACAGAGTCATTTAAGAAGACCTCTAGAAGAGGGATTTTTGACATAGTTTATTTACTCAAGGCCAATTATTACGATATATTTGAACATATTTTTTGAGATTGTATCTTGCTATTCAGTGAACCTCCTGTGTATGTCTCAACTGCTGAGATTAGAGGTTTTTCAAGCACCATGATCAACTTCTAAAATTTCTGTGTGGGGAGGGTGGTTATAATTTGTACTAAAACTAAATTAGTGTTAGTGTGCTCCCTTTAGGAATTGTCTAAGTAAAACTTCATTTTGGATTCTATTCCCACTCTAGAGGATGGAAGTTTGAGGTATTCAAAACAGACTTGTGGGATATGAAATAAAGGACAGACGAGACACACGATGGCGGCAGCGCCCTCGTTTCAAGTCAGTGTTGGAATAAAATCCCTGTGCAGGAAGTGATCCCTGGTGATAAACCTCTGAGGTGTCAGGGGCTTGGATACTGTAATCAGCCACACTATTATCTGAAGAACAAACTATCCCTGAAGTGTTCTGCCAGAGATCCTGCCTTTATTTGTGGTCTGTCCTTTGACTTTGGTTTGCAAGACTATATTAAACGTGGCATGTTCTTTCTGTGGTTCCCCATGGCTGGCTAAGTGTCAGGTGTCTTCCAGGACCTACTTCTTTGGGGAGAGTTGTCTAAAGTTGTAGGCATTGCTTTAAACGGGGTCATGTCTATCTCTTCTTTACTTGCATTCCTAAATGAGGAAACGTTCACTGTAGAATTCTGTCTAGCAAACTTAGTAACCCTAATTACAGTGTTGATGCGGAAACCTTTCAGAGAGGTCAGCATTTGGCACTGGATACAACTCACATGCATTTTAGCGAGGCAGAGCCAGCCATATGAAACAAGTGATCTTTACAATTATCAAAAATGTGCACTTCTCACCAGTGTTATTCTCCTTTTTTAAAAGATTTATCTTACATTAGTAACAATTACTCTTCAACTTACAGTATGTTTACTCTTTTATGGTAAATTAACACCTTATAAAAATTTTGTTTTTTAAAAAAAAATTCATTAAAAAGATCTATTTCTTTAGGATTTTTTTTTTATATGTTCTGAAACTAATCTTTAGGATTCAGTACTCTTATTAAATAACTGGCAATTAGAGATGGTCCCTGGGTGGACACAGGCAGATAGGTGAACTAACCTGGTCCACCAGTGACTTTGGTGGAGACACACCAGGGCACTAAGACTGGGAGGAGAGCAGTTGCCGTGGCCCCGGATCTTGTGAACGCCGATAGATGTAGCCGTAGGATTTAGACACTCTCTGCAGCGTCCTGTGGCTGGCAGTGTGGCTGTTGTCATGGCTGCAGCACTTCTGGATTTTTCCTCCTCGTGTAGATCCTGTACATTCTCTGATAATTTCTAATACAGATATGCTAACACTGCCTGTCCCCCCACTGCCCTCCCCTTGGTTTTAGTGGGTCTTTTGTTTGTTTCTGGAGCTGGGGACTAACCCAGTGTGTTAGTTACCCCCATGGGCTATCCCATGCCCTCAACTAGGTTTCTTGTCGGTCTGTGTTTCTGTGTTGACTTGGCATAGTTTTTGCCCTTTGAAGTTTTCAGCTTGGAGTGTGCCTGTGTGAGTATACGTGTGTATCTGGGATCTCTAGGCAACCTACACAGGCCTCCATATTTGACCCAATAAAAGGGCTGTTTGAAACTCCTGTTTCATTTATTTTAAAAGAAAAACTGAAAAGAAAACTTCTGAGGGACATTTTTTTTTTAAACAGATTTGAACAGGGACCCTGTCTCAGTGCTTCCCATATTGACATTAAGAAGAAGAATTAATTCCTGTTTCAAAGCACTTAACAGCTCACATAATTGCGATAGATGGTGGTGTGGTAAAGGTTCCCTGACAAATACCTCCCTGTGCCTCCTCCCTGTTGTGCAGGCGGTACGGCACGCGCTGCTCCCGCTGTGGCAGGCACATCCACTCCACTGACTGGGTCCGCAGGGCCAAGGGCAATGTGTATCACTTGGCCTGCTTTGCCTGCTTCTCTTGCAAGAGGCAGTTGTCAACTGGAGAGGAGTTCGCCTTGGTGGAGGAGAAAGTCCTGTGCAGAGTACATTTCGACTGCATGCTGGATAATCTAAAGAGAGAAGTGGAGAATGGTGAGTCGGCGCAAAGTATCAGCCAGAGTCTTTCAGGTTGGTGAATGAAGAGAGAAACTGATGATGCCCCAAGGTCATTAGAGGGGTAGAGCAAGCACTGCCACCAGTAAAGGGCTCCATGCACTGACTTGCAGCCAAGCGGCAGCCTCTATGTTAGTTCCATACTAGAGTCTGAGACAGCAGCTTGGAGTCTGGGGTCAGCCTTTGTTTTCTCTTTATTTGCCTTCCTAGGGTGGGCCTTAGACGTATGCTTTTAACTGACTGCATTTCAGGCAGAGCACACAAGGCTATAAAACATTGACTTCTAGAGTACATTCGCAACATGTTTTAACACTTTAGGTGTGGGTGTGAGGAAAGTGTGCCGAAGTACAGCCCCATCCGTGTTACCAGCTGGGTGGTATGTTTTTAAACCGCAGGTAACGGGATTACGGTGGAAGGAGCCCTCCTCACAGAACAGGATGTCAGTCACCCAAAGCCAGCCAAAAGAGCCCGGACCAGCTTTACAGCCGATCAGCTGCAGGTAGACGTGGCAAGACGTTTGTGATCTTTGAAGCCCCTTCCTCCCCACAAACAAACAAACAAACAAAACAAAACAAAACAAAACAAAAAAAACAGACCTAAAGCAAAATAAAAACTGGCTCTCCATGCTGCCTGAGAATATTGTTTTCTAAAAGGTTGTCCTAAAATTTCTTTTAAAGATCTAACTCAATGAAGAGTATAAATGTGTACTTACTGCCCTAAAAAGTCATGGTCTGCCAAGTCTAGTCATAGTAGCTTTCTATCTTTTGGTATCAAGATCAAACTGGGACACAATATTGGTCTGTCGTGGCTTCCAGGAGTATCAGTCTAAGGCAGATGTTTTGTTACATGTAAGAGAACAGAGAGGATGACTGTGGAAACTCAGCTGAAGGAGGCAGCACCCAGGGCTGTGGGGCTCTGATGTGACGTTGTTTGAGTAAATCGTGTGTTATTGAATGTTGAAAATTGCACGAATTTGGTCTAGGGAAGAACAGAAACTGCCCAGGACAGATAGGAACCTACTGGTTGACGCCAGTCATAAAGGGTTAAGACAGAGATTCCACTGTCCTGCTAAGGCTGACCCTGCCCTTGGAAATAAAGGAAAGTCCTCATCACGGTTGTCCTGGGTGTGACCACATCTCATTTGTGCAAACTGTCAAGACAATACTCCTTGCTGTGTATTTAAGTCTACATGTGGAGATTCTTTCTGTCATATTTCCTAAAAGATCGGTGTGGCTGAAGTGTTTTGTTTTGTGTTAAGATAAATGGTTTACTGCACGTCTTTCCCAGGGGCTGCTGGGCATGTTGCACATTCAGCTCAGGACTGAAGACAAGGCCGTCTTGTTAACAGATGAAGGAAAAACCACTCCTAGTAGTCAGAGAATTTCAGACTCAAGAGTGGTATTTTAAGGAATGATTAGAGGGGTACCCTGGACGTGACCAGTGTTCTGAGGGAACTTGGCAATAGACCAGATGCTGAGTATTAAAATTGAGATCCATTAAGAAAAAGCCCGCCAAGTACACAGTTGCTTGGTGTGTTCATTAGACATGAAGTCTTTTACCAAGACTAATTCATGAAGAATAAGACGTCATTTGAGCCTTGTTGCTCTGATGCTTCCTGGAGTGTTGGAGACAGTCACATACATCCTGAGGTTGGAGTGAATTTTTATCCAAGCTTTGCAGAAACACCCAGTCATAGCAAGTAGGCTGGGTTAGACAGATTCCCTAACAGACAAGTATCAGATTTGGAAATGGCCAGATTTGGAGCTGACTGTGACTTTGACAATTACAGGCTTCATAACTTGGATATGAAAATTTCTTATTACAGTTAAAACTGGCGGGTAACTATACAACCTCCTGTGGGAAGAGATAATTACAGAAAAAAAATAAGATGGAATATTTGTGGAGTTTTTTTCAGCCCAATCCTGTCCATGTCTTTAACTCCTCACCCGTTCCAGCAAGTCCTCAGAGTAGTCTGCCTCTCCATGGGGCACAGGAGTGACCCACAAAGTAACCAGCCACTCAAGGGACTAGCACAGAGGAGGCTCACACAGATGTGCCCCACCTCTGTGAGACCATGTGCTTGACCAGAACCCAGCAGTTCAGAGAAGAGAAATTCTGAGGCTTGCAGACAACCTTATAATTACAATGTGCCACGTTCACAAAATACTTAAACCATGTGTTGCTGTGTGAGACCATGACCTGAATCATAAGCTTTAAAATGATCAGAGCAGGTTCTAAAAAGTGAAAGTATGGTCTCACTTATTCTGCGTTCAGTAGCACTGATGCTTATACCCAAGACTGTCAAAACAAATAAGGTACAATCCTCAGTTGTTCCAAAGAACAGGAAAGCTGGTATAGCCATAGATTTAAAAGAGAGGAAAGAAAAAGAGCTGAATCATTTACTTTCAACAGATTATCTGATAAATCAAGCATTATAATCACCTTGTCAAATTGTCTCAATTTTGAGAAAACTGAATATATTCAGATATCGACTTCAACAAAATAATTTAAAATTGCCCCTGAAAACTGAGTTGAGACTGCCCGTGAGTCTGTCCTTGCTTTGGACAGAGGAGTGTTAACATAGGATAGCTAAGGAAATTCCTAAAATTCCATTTCAAGTCTTACAGGAAGAAGGTTCCAAATCAGAGGGTGTGTCTCTACAGATGTGTCTGAAACATGGCCCACTGATGAGAAGGATACTTAAATCCCTGCTGGTGCCATGGTTCCGCATCACATGCACCAAGGTTGGCACCTGGCTTTTCTGGTAGACCTCTTGGTGTTAAATTGATAACACTACAGGGCTTTGCCATACTCCTCCCCCCAAGAGTTCCCAGAAGGACTGGAAGTAGTTTGCAGTAGCTATAATATCTGCAGAGTAGAGAAACTAGGAATTCAAAGGTTTGTCTTTTTTTTTTTTTTTTTTTTTTTGTGAGACCAAATACTGGCACTAGGGAGGCCTGGAAAGGAAAGACAATGAGTGTACTATTTTCTTTAGAGTATTTCTAAATGGTCAGACTGTACTTACACTCAATTTCATTCCTTGATGAATTCTCTTGCTAAATGTATGTTGGTTTTATTATTAAATTTTTACTTCCAAGGGTCTTTTATTTCTTTTTCAATCAGAGAATCAGTAATGACTTTAGAAGCAAACCCCCAAACATCAGCTCTGCTTTATCTTTGTGAAAAATCAAAGGCACAATCAAGTTACTCGTCGTTTTGTCTTTAGGATGTTACACTCAAGTCGCCCTCACACAAGCAACACCACAGGAAAGCAGTTCCTTGGATAAGGGAGGGAAGAATGAAGAGACAGAGTCCATTTTGCCATTTGTTAAAATAAGAACAAGTCTATGTCCCTTTTACAGTGAAGATACTGATACAACATTGAGTGAGGAGCCAGGAGCACTTGATTCTAGGGGAGCCACTAACCAGGGCACCTTACTGAAAGGGCCATTTGCAGCCACACATGTTTCTGGGCTCACACTGGACTTTTTTCCCACGCTCTTGAGACTGTTCTCATATTGTCAAGGTTCCTCTGTCACCAGCCCTGAAGTGTACATTGCACTGCAGCCCCTGCAGAGAGTATAGTGCCCACCACGGGGGTGGGGGCAGTGTGGAGGGTGCTTTTCCCCTAGTGCCCTGGGAGCTATTACCTCTCCCGAGAGATGGGTTTTGGGAAGTGATCTGTTGGGCTACTTATGGCAAGTGGAGAGGCAGGCACAGCACTGGTGGGAACAGGCCAAGACTACAGTTCACACTGCCTGGGGTGGGGTGGGGGGACAGCAAGGTGAGGACAGGTGCTCACTTCACAGGCCCCAGGCAAGCAAGGCCTACCGAATCCCCTTCTTCTTTATTAGTTCTCTTTTTCATACTCCCCTCAGCTGTTTGACTCTGTGTACTAAAATTCAAGATTACTGGACTCTCATGGTTCCCTCTGTTTGCTCCCAGAGGCCTTGACTGTGGTTTTCATTTTCCTCTTCTCGTTACCTTTGATTAGAGATGATGGTTGGCATTTCTGTATTTTTCTTGTAGGAACTTAAAGTTCTCAAGTTTCTACCCTGCCATCTATGACCACATACCTCCCCTAGTACTTGGCATGGTGGGATCAGTCCAGGTCCTCACGGCTGAACTGCCAGACTTTGTCCAGCTCTTGTGCACCGCCTAAAGGATGTTTCACTTTGTTAAATCTCAGAGGTTGCTTCGCGTGGAGCAAATGCCTTTCACACGCAGCAGCGGACTCTACTGCTGCAGCACAATCTATTTGAAAATCAGTGAAAACCATGTGAGAGGTGTTGAGGCCGTTCAGACCCTTGGAGGCCAGAGGCAACTGTGGTGTGACTTGTGTGTTCTGAGACGCATGGAGAAGGGAAACACCTCTAATGGCACGGCTGAGAGGCCAAGTTGATGCTGCAGCTGGGTGATCTTTAAAGATCTCAGAATAAGAGTTTGTGTGAATTTACATAGTATGCCTCGCTTTCACCTGCGCTTGGCTGCATTAATTTTCAAGTACCAAAGCACAAATCTCATTTTCTTTGTCTTCTTTGTCTTACCAGCAAGATGCAAAAAATAAAGCTTTTAACTGTTTGCTCCCAACGTTTTATCTTTAAAAACTACAGGTTATGCAAGCACAGTTCGCTCAGGACAACAACCCAGATGCACAGACCCTCCAGAAGCTGGCAGAAAGGACAGGCTTAAGCAGACGTGTCATACAGGTAAAGCAAGGATGCAAGGAATTCTGCATCTGATGTTGTGGGTGTGTCTGCTGTTCCTCTGTGACAAAACCTCAGAATGCTCCTCCTACTTTCACTCTGAGCCATATTTTAAAAAGAGTATGTGACCTTTCCTGGGGAGATGCAGCATACATGTGTCCTCACTCACTCCAGACAGGACGCCAACGACAGACCAAAGTATAGACACCACCAAAGTACAACCTGGTGAACCAATGAGTTTTATTGTTGTTACAGGTGTGTGGGTGAGGGGTTGCTTACAGGAGCAAAAATAACTCAGAGATAGCTGCATCACCAAAGCCTGCTCCAGTCTGAGCAACAGCTCACAAATCTGGGTGCCTGGAGCCCACTGCACAGCCTGCAGGCAGCTCAACAGGTTGGAGAGTCTCCTGTTCGGGTGCCTCCATTGATATAAACCTCTTCTGGGTAGCTTGGCTAGCTGGTTTCCATTTTCAGGCATTTGCTGCTTCTGCTGGTCTAGCCTCAGAATTTTCTTAACAGCTTTGCTTTTGTGAGAGTCCGTCTTAGCTTTTATCATTTACTCTGTCAGGGAAGGTGCCTAGTGAATCTGGTCGGTTTCAGGGACTTCCTGAAGCTAGTCTGAGTAGCTTACCCTCTTGCTTAAGGACCTTCCTGAAGGATAGAATGTTTCGATCTTAGAGGAAACTGTTAAACAGCCTGAAATGGGCTTTCCAGGAGTAGGCCACATTTGTCAGATAACTCCTTATTCATTTTTATTCCGTTCAGAGAAGCTCTAAGCCTTGGGCTAGAAGTTCCAAGCCAAATCTTGTTCTGAGCTCAGCTCTCCTCTCCTCTTCCCTGCTGTTTTCCGCTTTCGTCCCCGTTTCTGCCCGACCCCTCCTTGTATAGGGTGTCAACTGCCTTTACTAAAGATTAGGGAAAAGAGGTGATATGACCAAAGCTAGGAAAGAATGAGATGTAGCCAAACTACTATACTGTAGAGTTCACATAAGAAAAATCTGGATTTGGAATTGCAAAAGCCTGTGCATGTTGAGCCCCCTTTGCAGAGGGAAGCTATAACATGATGTGGGAAAGAAAGGACAAGGTGACAAAACACGGGAAGAAGTGGACCCAGGACTTTTGGTTGTGGTGACTAGGAAACTATTGCGATGTGTGTTTATGTGTGTGTGTGTATGTGTATGTGTATGTGTTCTTGCTTTTAAGAGATCTGACTGCAGTGTGGGTCCATAGCTACATTCCAGAGAGTTTCTTACTAGCTGCGAGTAATAGCAGATACTGGCTGCCAGCAGGATGAGGACACAGCCTGGACACAGCAAGGGAGAAGCAGAGGAAAGATCGTTGCTAAATCAGAAGTCAGAGAAAGCTCAGTTGTCCACTGGGAGCTGCCCACAGTCACCTTTACCTGTGCTAGCCATGCTAGTGGGGTGACTGGCTGTGAAAACAGCATCAGAAGGGATGAGCAGGGTCCAGCCAGTCTCACACCTTGGACTTGGGCTGATCTTTTAAAAGCTCCATGTGAGTGGATGAGGGGCCTGAGAGCACAGACAGGGTCACAGGTATCGACTGAAAGGTGTAGAGCAGAGCCTAATGAGAAAGACCGCACTGGCAAAGCAGCACAGGGCTTAGAGAAGGATGGAGTCAGAGAGGTGCCACAGGGAGCCAAGATGGCGTAGAGAGGCCAGGGACAGGGAACATAATTTAAAGGAATTGTTGAGGGTTTTGTTTGTTTTTAAAAAGAAACCAAAAGCACTAATTATAACCAGCAAGAAAGGAATTTGTCTGGGGCTGGTGGATTATGAATTTCTTTTTGGTACAAGTATGTTGTTTCTGAGGTTCTCTAGTTGGCATTGAGGCGCTTATTCTTGACAGAGCAGGAATTGATTTGGGTAAACAAGTAACCTGCACTTGGGGATCATCCCCAGCCTCCACTTCCTCCTCAGAACCCCATCCCTCCTCCCCGCAGTGGGAGCCCCTTTCCTGAAGACAGGACTTCCAGCATATCTGGATGACTGCAGAGTGTTTAGTCTCCTCTAGGGGGCAGTCCCCACAGCCTCGGCGCTGCTCACGCTGTCCACAGATTGCCAAGTTTATTTTTACAGAAGAGGGGTCAAACCAAAGGGAGTGCTTAAAAGACATAGAAGTGGTGTGGTATTAAATGCAGTATGAACTCGAGGAGGGCAAAACAGGAGGGAGAGTCTCTGCAGGGTGGTGTCTTCAAGTGTCTGTGAAGGAGCAGATGGAAAGGACTGGTTCACTTTCTTCACGGCAAGCTGTGTCTGTGGTGTTGATGCTGCTGCTGGCTCTGAGGTTTCCTCATCGGTATTTCAGACTCTACAGCCTGGAGGGTTCCTTCTAACTCCAGACTTTGTACATTCCTGGTGGAATGGAGGCAAGAAGGTCAGGTTCATGACTGTTGGGAATCTGGCAAAGAAGACGGAATGGCCTTCCCACAGTGGGTCCTATTACTACAGGAGTAAGGACCCAAGAGAGACATCTGCCAGGCTGTTTCTGGGCATTTATCTTGGCCACGATATGCAAGTCAGGTTGAGCTCCAGCATTAGCTTTTAAAGATTTCAGTTTTGGTTTGAAACTTTTACTGTGTACATTGAAAGTTTGATGTTTTTGGTAAGATGGCAGGAGACCCGCTCAGCAGTGGGCAGTGTTGGGTCTTCTACTCTGTGTGATGGGTGGCACCAGTGTTACAGACCTGTGGTTGGTCGTGGGGTGGAGACTTTGGGTGTGATCTCCAGAGAATGAGTGAGGACTCTATGGCCTCGTCCTGCTTTTGCTCATGCCTAAGCCTCCACCTAGAAACATACCCTGCGCTTTCTCTAGTCACCTGCTCTGGGCTGCACACCCTAGGACACTGGTAAATTTGGCTCCCTTGGTTTGAATTCATGGCTGGCCAGCCCTCGGCCTTTTAGTCCCAAGGAACAGGGTATGTCTTTGAAATCAGGCCAACCTTTTTTCCCTTATAAATTCTTTGCGGCTTTTCTTGTGCCATGAATCCCTGGACACATGTGACACCCCTGGCCTTTCCCTGGCTTACTACACCCAGAGGCCAAATGCTTATTCTAATTTCTTTAAGATATTAGCTCACTTTATCATTCCTGCTGTGACACAGTTTGTTTGGAATGAGGGTGATCAGTGTGTGTGAGTGTGTGTGTGAGTGAGTGTGTGTGTGTGTGTGTGTGTGAATGAGTGTGTGAGTGTGAGTGTGTGTGTGTGAGTGTGTGAGTGAGTGTGTGAGAGAGAGAGAGAGGGATTGTGCCCGGGGCCTTGTACTGTGTGTTGAAGTTGGTTTTTGCGGCTCAGAGTCCACTCATGCAGACTGGCCTCTAGTGTCAGGCCTCACGTACCCAGATCTGGCCTCACCAGTTGTAACTACATCATTTCTGTGGTAGAGTGGATAACAGCATGGTTGGTACTTTGCTTTTTATGAGGTCTTAACAGTTGGGTGTGTTTGCAGTTCATTCTACTTAAACACAACTAGATTGTTCTTATCATAGAGTTGACCTTAGCATGCTTCTAAGGGAACAGTCTATGTATTCACTGAGAGATTGAACTCAGCAGGTTAAATGTGATGGGGATGGCTCAATCAAGAATCTTGTAGAAAGTTGTGAGTTTCCAGTGGGGGTTTTAATAATGGGAACAAGGATTTGGAAGGCATGCAGCAGGTGTCTTATGAATACAACAGTACTTTCCTTTTTAAGTTCTGATTAAAAGACCTTTCCTGTTTTCTGCTTTCTCCAAATGCCAATAGTAAAACTAGAGGCACATTTCCAGAATTCTCAAGAATTTACCATTTTTAAAAGATACTTCTTTAGCTTAGAGTAGACCTTTAAGTAAATCACCAAATACTAATAGCTGAGAAAAAAATGTATGTTCTAATACTTGAGCTAAAATGTTTATCCATTCAGTGGACTTTTAGAATTATTTTGTGGATGGATTGTGTATATCCCAGACTGGCCTCTAGCTTGCCATGAAACCAAAAATGACCGTGAACTTATGATCTACCTGCGTCTTCCTCCCAAGTGCTGGGATTACAGGTGTGCATCTCTGTACGAAGAATTTCTTCAGTGGATGGCCAGTAGGATAAGTGACTAGGGCTGTTGGTCAGAAGCTGCTGTGTGACCTCACCATCTCTTTCCTCTCGTCAGGTATGGTTTCAGAACTGCCGAGCCCGCCACAAGAAACACGTCAGTCCAAATCACTCCTCCTCTGCTCCAGTCACAGCCGTCCCCCCATCCAGGCTGTCTCCACCCATGCTGGAAGAAATGGCTTACTCTGCCTACGTGCCCCAGGATGGGACAATGCTGACCGCACTGCATTCTTACATGGATGGTAGGTAGTCCAGCTGGTAACCTCTAACATGTGCTTATTGACCTCACGTTCTGACAGAAGACCTCAGTAATGGCTGAAAAACATTATAGGGTACAGAAGACAGCGATCTTAGCCGACTGTTCAGCGCTTTGCTTTACAGCTGAGCTGCAAACCTCAGTGGTAAATCGCCACTTGGCATTTACTGGAAACATTTTTTGTTTCTCTTCCTCCTTTTAATTAAAAAAAGTCCCTTTCTTTTTATGTTATATGCAAGGGTGTTGCCTGCATGTATGTCTGTGCATGAGGTAACCTTGGAGGACAGAAGAGGGCATCAGATCTCCTAGAACAGAAGTTAACAGATAGATAGTTTTGAACAGCCCTGTGGGTTCTGGGAATTGAACCTGAGTCCCCTGGAAGAGCAGCCTCATAATGGCTGAGCCATCTCTCCAGCCCCTTTTTGTTTTGTTTTCAATTGGATAAATATTTAAATAATTTATTTTTCTATGGTCAGAGAAGGTGTTGTCATCTGTCTGGACTGGAGGGTTTTTGTTGTTTTTTTCCACCTTTTTTTTTAATTGAAGTAAGTCAAACATATAGAAGGCACACACCAGTGCTGGGCTTGGTGGCTTGCTCCAGCGAGCGTCCTCTGTAAATGGTGCCAGACAAAGGTGAGCAGCAGCAGCCTCCAGAAGCCCAGCATCCCCTCTAGGTTTTATTCTCTTCAGCCAAAGTTGATCTCGACTTCAAAAGCATTGTCCTTACTTTCCTTTTAAACCTTTTTTTACATTTTACTTATTTATTTGTGTGGGGTGTGGGGTGCACATGTGTGGCGGCACACTGTAGAGGTCAGGGGACACCGGAGGAGTCAGTCACCTCCCTTCACCCCAGGGGATGCTGGGGCATGAACCCTGGTTCTCAGGCTTGGCAGCAAGTGCTATTACCCGCTGAGCTCTTATCCTGTGGCTTCCTGTAAACTCGCACTGTGACCTTGTGCCTCTCCTCCTCTTCTGTGGAGTATAAGGATCACTCATGCTAACTCTCCACAGAACTCTACTCCAGGAGTCGTTTCACCTCTGTTTGGGGGTGGATAGCCTGCTGTGTTCCCTTTGGGTATTTTAGGAACATGGTGGCTGTGGGCTCTCTTAGAAACATCTTTTGGTACCTGTGATTCAGCTACTCTATGGCATATGTCTGGGAGGGCAGGTCAGAGCAGGCACGCTGCTTCATGCTGTTCTGCCACAAGCTTCACACTGGTGGACCAGCTTGCGCTGCGTGTGAGCGCTGAAAGTGCTCCTGTTCCTGCCAGCACCGCACACACTACCCCTTCTTCATCTTGGCCATCTTAGTATGTTTAACAGCCTTTTCTTGAGACAAACACGATGGCACCCCTCCCCAGTCCCTTGGACATCTGTTTATATCTTGTGAAGATCCTGTATATATATTTGGCTTCTCAACTGATGGTTTCTCTTTTTTTAAAAACGACTTTATTTATTGATTGTAACCTACATATCAAGCCTTTGGATAATAACATGTGTTGAAAGTATCTTCTGCTTGAGGCTTCTAAGTTGTTTGATGTCTTGCAATAAGAGGACCACTCTGTTTTTTTCTTTTAACGATTATTTATCTGGCTGTGGTGGCCTAGGTCTTAATCACCACCACCACTCAGGAGGAGGCATAAGCAGGTAGATCTCTGAGTTTGAGACTAGCCTGGTCTCAAACTTCTGGGCCAGCCAAGGTGTAACATCTTCTCTGATTCTCCCCTCTGTTTTAAGGCAGGCCAGATCTTATTACCTGCCAAGAAACAAACAAACAAGCACTACATTTCAGATACTGGGTAAGAGAAAGGAGTAACCTGAGGCCCTGGATCGTCTTTTATCAGAGACACAGTTTCCTGCAGTACAAACTTGGGCCACAGGAAATCACCTTAAACACCTTAGTCATCCTGAAGCTAGTCTAACTCAGTCTCACTGCTCTTCCGCTCTGGATCCTATACCACCGCCTGTGTGTGTTTATTTATTTTTGTTTTATTTTATTTTGTGTTTTTTTTTATTCCACCACCCTGACAAAGCTCTAACTGAGCTGTAAACATCCCAGCCTGTCAGACATTTTTCACGTGTTAAATCTTTTAGTATCTCTGTTGGGAAGAAGTCTCATTTTCTTTCTCTCCTCTCTGGGACTTTCCACTCCTCAGATATCCTCCGAGCTCACCATAAGGGCACTGTCCAGCTCTCTACTGCTCTCAAGAGGGAGATTTGGTTTGAAGCACCACAGCCTTACCCTAAAGCAGAATTTCATTTTAAGTTTTTGTTCAAACAAACAGCTTATGATTCGATTGTGCCATGCGGTCACGCTGCTGTTGGAACTGCCTGTGTCCTTTGAGGGACCACAGTGCTACTTAAGACAATCAAGTTTAGATGCCAGCAGAGCACAGGCTTTCTCACCTGTTTCCCCAGGACCCTGGAGACTGAGGCTAAGGAGAACCATGAGTTGTAATTCATGGAGAACACACTCACACACTCCTAAGGGAAGCCAGGGTGCGGCCCACCCACACCCACATAAAGACAGATAGCATCTGCATACAGGGCCTTTCTCACTGCAGGGCAAGGGGCAGCAAATGAGACAGAGATGGAGTTCACCACTATGCTAAAGATGGGGTGCTTGAACCCCCAGATACTTAATACACTGCCTGTGTGAATGAGGCAGTGGTCCTGCTGAGTGACAGGGATTGTTCTTCTGCTGACACCTAGGTACAGTCAGTTCAGGTAAAACTGATGCCCACACCTGAGACAGTGATAGAGGCACCTTGACTTGAGATGACCCTTGTTTGTACAAGCCACTCTCTGTTACCCTAAGGAACTGATGCCCACATCTCTTTCTGTTTTGTAGCTCACCAACAACTCCTGGACTCCAGCCCTTGTTACCCTATACAATGACCCAGCTGCCAATAAGTCACACCTAATTCCTTCTTCAGGGATAGAAATGATTGAGGATATAAACTTGTCATTTATTATGTATAAAGTACCATTGAAAGATATTAATGTTAATTTTTTATTTAACACTCAAAGCATTTTGAACATCCTTTCGCTGCCCAGGTATGTATCTATAGTTGGCCTGCAAGACACTTTTATTGATTCTTCATTGTGTTTATTTTGTAAAACTTATGTTTACAAGAAGAAAACAAGTCAAAACATTTTTTTTTATTGTCTGGAAATAGTTGGCTCTAGTGTCTATCTGTTAATTTATTTGTCATCAAAAGAGCACTTTGCCTAAAAGACTGGACTGATAATGTGCAAAATGTTTACAATCCTTTGTGAAACTGTAGTTTATCATTAGTTTGTACCTGTAAGTTATTGTTATAAATATTATCTGTATTTTTTGTTATATACAACTTTATACCTTGAGGCTTGTATCTGTGAATTTGCAACTGAAGTTTATTTTGCCAGTGTTTCTGGATGAGCTGAAAGCGCGTCCGCTGTAGCATGCCGCGCACACCCTAGCAGTGTCTGCGCTTGCTAGCTGTAAATAACACCTCGTTTACGAAGCCTACCGCTGTAAGTTCATTAAACACTTTGCATCCTTGTGAAAGTTGCAGCCGGCCCGTCTTCTGTGTGTGTTGTCACCAGTAAATTGCTCTTAATTTTTTTAAGCCATTTTGTTTTGAGTTGGGTCATGAGTTTGTTTCATTGGGAAACCTATTTGCAGATGACTAGTCTTAGCAACAACAACAACAGAAACAAACCCACATGAAGACATCTCATTTGGCCCTTAATCACTTCTAAACTGCTAGTCAACTTAAGGTGAACTTAGGACAGAGGGCTTTCAGACTGACTGTTGGGGTATCCCACTCTAGACATGAAATGCAGCCATATCATATTTTTCTTCAGAGTTTTAAAGAAACTAGAAATATTTGAGTTTGAGTAGATTTTTTTAGAACAAAGGCTCTGGGTTTGTTTTGTTTTGTTTTCCAAGTGACTGCTTTTTCCCTAAAAAGCCTCTTGGTTGTCAATTCTAGCCCCCGGACTGTACTCTAGCTTAGGTAGATGCTCCTCTCTGAATTATAGAGGTGAGCATGAGCTTCGCTCTTCACTCTCTGCTGGTCTCTCATTGCCCGAGTAGGGAGAGAAAGGTAATGAGACCCTTTGGCTTACATGGTGTTTGCTTACCAGAGCAGAAGTGCATCTGGCTGGGGCCTGGAGTCCTAGGGGAGCGTTTGTAATTCCATCCTACTCACCATAAATGCAGCCATGATGTGGTCACATGGGTACAAGTAACTGAACGATCTGCCTCGTGCAAGAAGCTTCAATCTTGAGTGGAGAAAGGGGGAACAATTTTCTTTTTCAACCTGCTGCTCTGGTTGGAATCCCTTTGGCCAGAGTCCAAACAATACAGTCCAAAGTCAGTCTCTGATACTGGGAGATTGACACTGATCTCCTTGGCTCTCGCTACCTGACACAGGCAGGGCAGGTTGGTGATGTCAGCTTTACCTTTCCCAGATGTCTGGGCAAGTACCTGTGGATCAGCCAAGCTCTGTACTGGGCACCTTGAGAACACTCCCAGCTGCATGTGACTGGCACCTCAGCCATTAGCCTGGCAGGGGCCCAGAGGTGAGGCTTGCCTGCACTGCTCTCTCCCCCTGAATCTGTAAGAGTTTGTAAAACTCCCAGAGATGAACTCAAAGTCGGGGCCACAGTTCTTCCATTCGGAGCTACAAGAATGGGTGAGGTTTATATTCTCTGCACTTAGCATAGTTACCAAGGGATGGAGACAGAAGAACTTATAGTGTGAGGGGACACGAGTGGCTGTGTCTTCATTTACTGAGGAAGTCATCAGAGGTTACATTCTAAAAGTGAGGTGTGTCTGAGCTGCTGTGCCCAGTGTGAGACATATGCACAGTCTGCACTGGGTTAGACCTGGAGGCAGGGCAGAGAAGGAGCTTCCTGTGTGATGTGAAAGGGCCAGATAACAGCTTTCCTCTCAGGCATGAAGAGACCAGAGAGGAGCTAAGACATTCATTTTACCAGTAGGTACAGCAAACAAGGGTTCTAGAAAGATCTCAAACCCTGCCGTTAGAGGCATGCAGCACAGAGGCAGTTAAAGCGTTTTGATGCCCTTAAAACCACGAAACTGGGAGGGTAAAATAACTTTTGCCATGCAGATCAAGCTTCCTACTCAAACAGGGAAGCTGGAATCAGTGCTCCTTAAGCCATGCTTGTTAGTGGGACAAGGTGCCATTAACAACAGTAATCTTACATTTCACAAATGCCATTCTTAAAATCCCATGTTATTATAAATTATAAGCACACATAGCTGAGTATCCCATAATAAACACTGTAAGGTAGAATCATAGTTCGTACTTTAAAAAATTGTTATAGGCATTTGAAAGCTGATAGTAGTAGCGTTTCTTGGCACACAGCGTATATAATTACTGAAGTAGAATTATGAGATTAGATGGGGGCTTGAGACATTTGCTGTGGCGTGGAGGGCCTTGCAGTGGGGAAAGAAGCACGTTGAAGCACGTTTGTGTTAGAGGTTGTTCAGACGGCAATGTTCTGTATTTTAGCACAGAAAAAGTTCTCGGTGTGCCCTCCACAGGAGGTGAGGGAACCGAAATTATACAACTGAAGTTCAGAAGAATGGAGCTAAAGAAGGTCTAGGCACAGGATCTGAAAAGCAGATCGGTTGGTAGAGTATCTGCGTACTCTGCATGAAGTCCTGGCTTCAGGCTTCAGCACTTCAGAATCCAGGTGTGGTGGTACAGACCCATCACCCCATCACTGCAGAGGTGGAGGCTGAAAAAGCAGAATTTCAGAGTCACCTGTGACCAAATAGCAAGCTTGAGGCCAGCTTGACACACAAGATCATATTCCAAAAACAACAAAATGGAAGCTGAAGAGATGGTCCAGTGGGTAAGGATGCTTGCTGTGGAAGAAGAGTTCAAATCCCCATCTCCTGTATAAAAGCTGGGCATGGCCACACATGTCTGTAACTTCAGCACTGGGAGGGACAAAACCAGGTGGATCCTGGGAGCTTGCTGGCCATCCATCCTAGGTCAGACAGCAAGTATCAGGTTCAATGAGAGACATTGTCTCAAAAAAATGTGGAGAACAATAGAAGACATCCTGCCTTTGCCTGCACACACAGCAAAGTTCAGGCACAGTGGATAACATCTAAGGAATACATACTGTGTTCTTACACACTAAGTCTTATTTTATAGCCTGATTTTTCCTTTTTATAGAATGCCTTTTAAAATTACTTAATTCACCGGGCATGGTGCTTACATGCCTGTAATCCCAGCACTCAGGAGGCAGAGGCAGGTGGTACTCTGTGGGTTTGAGGCCAGCCTGGTCAACAAAGCAAGCCCAGGACAGCCAAGGCTACACAGAGAAACCCTATCTCAAAAACAAAACAAAAACAACCCAAAATTACTTCTCAGAACATCCTCTATTCTTTTGACAACTTCATATGTGTAGACAATATATTTTGATCAGGTCCACTGTCAGCATGCCCTTTACTCCCCCCGAGGCAACCCCCCAAACAGTCCCCTCCTTCCACGTTTCCCCCTCTGTCATTAGCAGTTGAGTCCAGTAGGGCTGCCTGCTGGATGGTTGGCTGATCATGTTGCCTTCGTTGTGTGCAGGTGACTTGCCACAGAGACTGCGCTGGTTCACCAGCCAGGCGATGCCTGGAAGCCGGCATCTCTCAGCCCTGCTCCACCCTCCCAGCTCACATCCCCTCTGCCCCATCTTCCTAGGTGTCCCCTAAGTCTCGGAGGAGGCAGCTGACATATGTGTCATTTAGGGATGAGCCCGGAATAATCACTTTTTGTAGCAGCTGGGTGGTTTTGAGTCAGCAGTGACTGCCAGCCAGACAAGAGCATCTCTGATCAAGGCTGAGGGCAGCTCTAACTAAAACAGCAACATATTCATTCCAGACTTTATGCTGATTTCCTAAGAGACACAACTAGATGAATCTATGCCCTAGTAAGTCTGAATATTAGCAGCAAGATAGAATGCCCACTGATTGTTAGCATGTCTATAGACAAATTACTAAGGAAACTTTTATAAATGTCTTTTAAGTAAAATATTCATTTATATATTTTAATTGGTGCCAGGGATTATGGCCTGTTATCTGTCCCAAATTCACACAGTAGAAGCATCTAGAGTATCAAAGCATTAAAGAGTTTTACAAGCCAGGCACGGTGGTGCACTGACCCACTATATATATATAATGTATATGTATACATATATATATGTATATATATATACTGATTAAAAAGAGGAGCTGGGCATGGTGGTGCATGCATTTTTATCCTAGTACTCAGGAGGCAGAGGCATGGGGTTTCCTAAGTTTGAGGCCAACCTAGTCTTCAGAGTGAGTTCCAGGAAAGCCAGAACTACACAGAGAAACCCTGTCTCAAAAAAATAAGCACATGTGCGTTAGGTTTGCAAACAGGATGAAAGCTTATAAAAGAGGCCCAAGGGGGCTTGTTTGCTGCTTTGCCTTTCAACTCTTCCAGGATGTGTAGAAGGACCATGTATGAAGAGCGGGCCCCAAGCCTTGAATTGCTAGTGTCTTCATCTTGAACAATGTGCTACATGTAAGCCATCCAGTCTAAGGTACTTTGTCATAGCACCCCAGTGTGCTAAGACTTTCAGCATAGTCAGTTTAGAGATGCTAGCAGCTTCTCACATTTGACTATGGTGTGATCTGAAACTTGAGTCCTGGATTCATACCCTGAATGCCTCAGATGCATTTTATTAAACAAATGCCTTGGGGCAGGATGTGGTGTCACTAGTCTCCCTGCTTTATTACAAGTGGGGGAATTGGAAACTAAGGCCCTGTGTGTCTGTGACGTCAGCAAGGCAGTGTGTGAACTGAGAAGTTCTGTTCCCCAGGTACCACCTGTTAATTTTATACCCTTACTCTCTATTTTTACTTTGTTTTCCTATGCCAGAGATCAAATTAAGGACCTCATGCATTCTGGGAGGCTGGCTCTACCAACTCAGCTATATGTCATTTTACTCTCGATTTTAAACAGCTGCTGTGGTAGGCACCTTTACACCTGTAGTTTCATTAACTAAAATTGGTTTTGGATAGGTTCACACATGTGCACCGTGCATGCTGAACACCCTCACCCACAACCTTTCTCGTAGTTCCCTCCAATCTCGGTCCAATCCCCAGATCCACACAAACTGTTCAAGCTCGTGAGTATCCATTTTGTTCTGTGACTCACTGAGTATAACCAAGACTGTCTTGTGACCAGGGTTTGGCACACCTACACTTTTATGAATAAAATATGTTCATCCCGTTTCCACAGTGCATTGTGTGTTACGTTTTTATTTCTGTGATAAAAATACCCAAACAAAAAGCAACTTCAGGGAGAAAGAGTTTATTTTAGCTTATAGCTTAAGAGGGAGAGTCTATGGGAGGATAGAGGACCAGGCCAGGAAGGCCGAGCAGCAGGAACAGAAAGTTAGCTGGTTCCAGGCCATGCTCAGGGCAGGATAGAGAGAGCAAGAACAGAGGGGGGCCAGGCCATAAAACCCCAGACCCCCCAACAATGCTGTTCTTCCT